TAGGTTAGAGTGGGGCAGGCGATGGTCCTTCCCTTGCTGAGGTGCCGGCCTCGCCTCTTGCAGCTGCCTGGAGTTTCTTCTCGTTGAGACAAGAGTGCTAGCTGTGGAAGCACAAGGGCAGAACAGAGTGCTCCGAGCCACAGGAGAGGGACGGAGTGGGCTGCCAGGAAGATCTTCATCCCTGCAGCGCTGCTGCTAGAGCTAGAGCGAAACCTGCTGCCTCTCCTCTCTGTTTCTTTTGATCTTCTGGAGAGGAGAGGTGAGTTGTTGTCTTTCCCTCTTGTCATATTGTAGCAATGGAGAAAATAGGCTAGCCTGCAAGCTGTGGAACTTGTTCAGGATGGCTTCAATCCTAGCTGAGTGCTTGGTTTGTTTTACTAGAGAGCCAGCCCTCTGAAAAGGCCCACTGATGGAGAAAGAGATTAGCACCGTGTTAACTGCGCGGTTCTCTCTCCTTTGCTGCAGTGCCCACTTTCACCGCTGTCTCCTGCTCTGCCTGCTCCTGCTTTCAGCATGGTTAAGAAGAATACTATTCCTGATGGGTAAGTATCCCTCACACTAAGCAAGAGGCAGGAGCAGGCACAGTCCTGCCTACAGAGGAGGGGCGATGACTGCCCCAGGTGCTTTCTTGCTACAAGCATCTTCACTAACTACAGCCAGGTAAGGTAGGTATCTTCTCCAAGACAGAAACAACTCAGCCCTTCATCCCCCAGGTGAGTATAATGCTCCAGCCTGTCTGTGAACACTTCTTCATCAGCCCAACGCAGTCCCTTCTTCCTGACCTTCTTACCCCCAGGTATATATTCCCTGGGAAATGGGAGAATAGCCCATCATTCTGACTACTCAGGTGTTTGCCACGAGGAGCAGAGAAAGCGGTGATAAGATGGGAGCAGGTGGTTGTATGCATGTCATCAAGGAACATTTTCATGGAATCATGTTCAGAAACATCCTGCGTTTTTGTTTTTAACAAGAGGGCAACAAAAATGTTTTATTGGCAAAATAATAATAATAATAAAAAAAACCCAAGTGCGCTATAAAGGCTTTTTGATACCTTGATTGGGAGTGTATATAGGTATATACATCTGTGTATATAGATCTCATTTAAAGCAGGTACAGTTCTACTCTCTAGCTGTACTGGAATAAGAAGAACAGGGAAGTCCAAGTTTAGATGTTTAACCCATGTGGTACAGCTGTTATCAGTACAAACTTCTTGGATAGGAGGGTGTGATGAGATTTAAAGACACTCTAATGGGACAATAATTTGTCATTTGTATATTATTTGAGGAAAGGTTGACATCCTGGTTTCTGGGTAAGCATTAAGTTTATTATGAACTTTCACAGGAGAAGCAATAAAATACAAAACTGATGATTTCCTGCAAAATATGTTGGCCTAAGAGCAACAAATAGAAATCAAATATTAACATTATTAAAATAACGTACAGAAACTTTGAACTTTTTTAATAGCTGACAAACTCGGGGATTAACATTAGAATAAAATTTAGGAAAAGCTATTTACGCATGTCTTTTGCTGAAAGTTTCAATGAAATTTCAGTTAAAAATTGGACAAAAAGGTCCAATGAGCTAAAGTGGGATAGGTTTGCAAGCAGTAATGCAGAAGACCTGAAAGAATAACTGTCCTTGTTTTCTCTGTACTGGGAAATTATTACTAAAAACTTTGAGAATTAGGTGCTCTTCTCCCTTGTTTTTCCTCAGATTTGAACTGGAGCAGCTTTCAGGGTACGTGTTTCCTCTCTTTAAGTATGGAAGAAGCAGTGGACTATACTTTTGGCTTCTACGATTGAAAACTAATACCAGAGTATTAGTAGAGTAGAGTAATTGTTTATAAAGTTAGTGTTACTATCTGACATAGCTCATGATACTGAAATGCTTTCAGGTTCTCCAGGTACTTTTTTTTATATTACTAACAATTCAGGCTGGACATCCACAGTAGTGGGGGTTTGGCAGTGAAGGAGTTTAAGAATCGTCAGTCTCCCAGTCTCAGGCAGCAGTATAGTGATGCCATCCTTATGCTGCCACACCACAGTGCAGTTCCCTGTGGATTAGTTTAGTACACCAGGAAAAAGTAGCAGTGAACCCTGGAAGAGGGCTTGAGGAAAACTGATTTTAACCTAGGTAATCCTGCATGTGCAATTTTACTGGCAATTTACTGGTCCTGGAAATAGTTGTTGGCAGAAGTGAGATTGTAGTACACTCTAGCATAAGGACCACTCCAGATACTGTGGAAGCACAGTCTCAATCATATGCCAGTATTGTTATAGCAATAAATCTAACAGTAACTCTTTTGACTTTAATAACACTGCAAGAGAAATGCTAGTAGGTAAAAAAAAGTCACACTATGTATAGATATTTTTAAAGATACTACTGTTACTGCCTCAATTCTTTATACAGGGCTTCACAGTTTCAATCCAAATTATGCTAATTAAAGCAATATAATAAATTTCAGGTTTCTGTCAAGTTATAAGTAGCTAGGAATAGTGCAACTTAACCAGAAATAGTGATTTTTTAATTTTATTTTTTTTAAACTGGCCAGCTAATTATGGTCACATTTTACAATACTGCATCTACAGCATTATTAAAGTTGCCTTTATGTAAGTGCTGTGCTATTGCACTGTGCAGCCTTGCTGGAGAGCAGCACTTTTGAGTGTATGCAGCACCTAAAGTAAGGTTAAAGTGGTACTAATTGCCAGTGTTGCCACTGGATCTGCACTACCAGTCTTGTACTTTTTTCTTGTTTGGGCTACTTTTGTTCTTGTGTCTGTGTCACTCGGTCCTTGCCCAGAACGTTTGATCTGGTGCTGTTGGCACCATCTTTGCTCCAGCAGTGAGAGAAGGAGGTGGCCTTGCTATAAGACTTTCTGCATTCCTTCATACCATTTTTTTCTTTTCCCAGTAATGTCTTGGAGCAGAGCTACGGCGTACAGTGCCCATTAAAGTCTCAGGCCTAGAAAGTAATGCTGGAGAAGTAATTCTGTAGTGGAAGTGAGACACCAGTATAAGAGTGATTCAAGTGATCTCTGGCACTTGTTTCCACCATGGAGTCAAGTTGTGTTCTTCAGTGTCTGAAATGGTGTTGTCTTTCAGTAGACATATCCACTGATGTTTTATTGGAGAACCAGCTAGTAAAAGGGGTTCAAGTTATATAACAAACAGTTGTAAAATACTGTGATGTTTTTACAGACTTATAGATGTTTGTGCTTCAGCATCCAAAATCTTACTGTGAGTATAATTTGCTAAACTCTGATTCAGTTCTGAAAAGCATCTGCAGAAATGTCACCTTGTATGTTTCCCTGACACAGTGTAAAAAAAGTAGCAGGAGTGAGATCTTTTTATTATAAGGACAAAGCTGAATTATTTCTGCCTATTCACCATAAGTACACTTGTTTAACTGAGTTGTCCCTGTGCAGTCTTAAAAGCATCAGCATTTTCATTTAGACAGGAATGTTAAAGAGTATGGCATAACTGATTTTGTACCTTCAAGGATGGGTGGGAGAGAAGTGTTACTGTAAATTGAGAATGTATTTGTAAAGTCAAAGTGCTTCACACCATCAGGCATAGAACATTTGCATTTAAAAATGTGGGATGGAGAGAAATGCTTTCTTACAATACCTGAGTAACGGCAACATTGCTGTAAGAGTCAAAGGCCTTTATCTTGTTTTACGTACACCACAAAACGTACAAAGGTATGCAATTACTTAGTGACATGGCAAGGAAACTTTTCTCCCACACTTTACATCCATGCTATTTTTTTACAAGGTATGACTTATTTGTATCCTACTTAACAGGAGCAGGAGCTGAAGAAAAGCAAAGTGAGAAATCTGTGATGAGAGTACTAGATGATTAACAGCTCTGTTCCCTCCCTTCCACTTTTGATCTGTTCAGTGTGTGTCTGTCTTGACAGTGTGTTATGGTCTTTGCACTGCTGTGTCTTCTTCAGAATAGTTTGGAATCTGGTGTCTACAGAGGTATTGAAGCTACTTGGAAAATAAAGCTGTATGTGTATCATGCAGCATCAGTAGCCAAAAAAAGAGGTTCCAAGTAGCATTTTCTAAATGATCTTGCTACAGTTGACAGTAGTTCAGACGAGTTTCTTTACAATTACACTAATTATCTTTTCTGAGTGTTTTGAAATTCACATTTCTAGGCCAGTTCTAAACTTCTGACTGCTTCATAATCACAGATGCTCATAAGGGGCTCCAAAATTGTAGGAACTCTTGAATGGTTAAGGGTAGCTTCAGATATTGCCTTCTGAACTTACTTCTCCACCCACTGTAGCTTCTCAGAAATGTATACCTATTTACACTAGTTGTACTAACACTGCTTTTTCACTATTAGATGAAAATAATTCTGAATTGATGCCTTGAGCTCAGTAATAGTTTCTCTGGAATACTGAAATACATTATTGCTCAACTGAATGTTAAACACTTGAAACTGTAAGATAAGAAAGATAAGTTATTTTTCCTCTCAAGAATATCAGAATTACTCTGAAGAGATATTGCAGTATAGAGTATTTTTTTTTTTTTTTAGCATATACTAATGTACATACCAGTTTCATTACCAATCTAAAGTGGGTTTAGGCTCCCTTAGAAAGGCCACCTGTTTGCCATAAAGGACTTGTAGGGTATCTGTTGGCAGTTTGTTGTGCTTCATTTATATAACTCTGAGATCTGACTCACCGAGGTCTGACAAACTAAAGACATGAAGCTTTCAAATTACTCCCAGTTCAGCAGTTCCATCGTATTGTACCTATGAATTATTTAGTGGCTTTCTTGTCTAGGTTGCCATTTGAAGTGCTGGGGTTTAAACCCCCAGCACTGAATGAGGGTTGGCATATGGATGATGTGCACAACTGGGCAAGAAAGATCCTCCTGAATGGTTTTCACCCAGGGCCTGGCCAGCCTTGGGTGGGAACTGATTAGGAGATAAGCAGGTGCCCCTGCCTTCCACATGAACTTGGTGGCGGGGCAAAAACCCACCTCTGTAAGAACTGACTGCTTCCAGTGGGGTTGGGGTGTCTGTTCACATAGTGCATGTGCTATGTGGGGATGCTGGCTATCAGAAGTGCTCCCTGAGTCTTCATGGCAAGTGGAGTTCCCAGGATGGCAGGGCCAGAACATGAAGCTGTCCCCGAGTCCCTACTATATAATGGGGCTCGTGGCCTGGCTGCTGCCATCTCCCACAGCTTGACTCGCTCGCTCCCTTCTTCATGCCCACTGCAGTGGGTGACTGCAGTGACTTGTTCCTCCCTCTGGGAGTCTGGCACTTGGGATCTCCAGTGTGCCATGTGGGAGCAGAGGGAGGAGTTTGGCTGCTGGTCTGTCTGTTAAGGATAATAGCATTCTGTGTCAGGCAGGCATTCAGCTATTAAAAATGTACATAATGGTTTTATGCTTCAGTTAAAACTTTTAGTAGAGCCAGATGTGGAAAACAGTTTTGTTCTACTTTAGTTTAAAGTTTCTGTTAAGGGGATATAGTAGCTATACTTCCCAGTATAATTTTCTCTGTTTTAGAACTGATTCAGAGTAAGATTTACTTTTAACAAGTACAAATTATGCACATATCAAATGAATAAAGTTTTCTTAATTAGATTTCAAAATTGCATTGAAGAATTACAGATCACTGATGTTTACAGTCTGTGCTGTGTTTTGCAATACCTTGAGATGTGGTTTTGTATGTTTAAAAACTAACTTCTTTGCTATCCTATTTAGGTTTTGGCTTTTTAATAGATTTATGCAAAATACAGGTATCACGATGTTCTTTGTGTGTTCAACATACCTTTGGGCTTACTAGAGAGGCTTCAGAATGAGTACTAAATTTTTTACTCGCATTTACTGTATAAGATAAGACTTTATCATTGGCATTTTTATGTCTTCTATTATCCCTCTTGAATCTGGAGACATATGCAGGCCCCGCTGATCCTCTGTTGGTTGCTCTTGGAGCTAACTGGTTTTAAAAGTGGTTTTTGTTGTCTGGGTGTTATTTTTTTCTTTTGTCCTCAAATAGAGGCCATTTCACTGGTTGCTGCTGTTACAGAGGATATTGCTACTAAATTCCTGGGTTAGTCTAGATTACATCTCTTTTGAACTTTTACTAGGATGCATGAAGCTAGTTTATTTTTTGCTGTTTTACTGAGTATTTCTGAAATTTTTAGATTAAAGAAAAAGGCAAACCTGCTTGCTTTTCATTTACATTAAGATGGATAAGCAGAGTAATATATTTTCATGTGAAGGAGGCTTAACCTCTAATAGATGAGCCAACTAAAGTCTGTAGCATCAGTAATAATTGTGTTTATTTATTTAACTGGAAGCCAATCAAGCATCACAAAAGTTTTAGAGAGAGAGGAGATTTGAACACACTTTCTCAAACAAGAAATCATTCTTTTGTTTAGAATGACAGTCACATTTCTGCCTGTGTTTTCAGATCATGGACAGTAGTTGGGGAGTCATGAAGGCAAAATGTCAGGGAGATGGGAACTGTGAATGCTGAATAGTTAAATAATTGGTTGACTTATGTGTTTTGTAGACTCTTACGTCTTAATCTGCTTCATTGATTGTTTACCTGTTTGAAAACTTAGAAAAAATAAAGTTGTAATTTAAAATGTGTTGTGTGTGCAATATGTCACTTTTTATTTAAGTGCTGTCTCTCTTAATTACTTTTCTGTTTGAAAATGCAGATTCGGGTTTTTTGTGGCTTTGGATAATTTTAAGTGTTCAGAAAAAATTTTATTTGCCATGCTGGACCCATAAAATCCTACATCAAAACCCCTGAAAATGGTTTGATTTGCAGTTTGTTTTACATGCTTCTTGAGATTCTGAAGAAGACCAGAAATACCACAAATTTTAAGGTGATAGTTTGCTTTAATGTACGCTGACCTAGATTTTCTTTCTGCAATTTGACAACCATTGTGGTTTGTGCAGAAGCTCTCAGACTTCAGTTTCTTCCTGGATGTGTCATCTACTGCTTGTGTTGGGAAGCTGCAGTCTTCACATGACTCCAGTTTAGATTGTTACCACAGTATCTTCGTAATGGCCAGACCTATTGCCTCTGTGATGCAAATGCCTAGATTTATTTCTGGGTATAGAAATAAATGTCATGTCTGTGTCTCAGTAAGATACTTCTGCCTCTTTCAGTAAACTCTTCCTGACGTCTTTTCAGCTACTTCAGCTTGTTTTTCACTCAAGCCTCTGTTACCTTTTAGTCATTAGTACAGGAATAATGATGGTGACAACACTTGTAATAACACCTTTACTCCTGGCTTTCTTCCTTCCAGTTATGTGCAAGCAGGACAGAAATCATATGTCACAATTTTTTCATGCTTATTAAAGTGCATGTTTATGTCTTTGCTCCTGTAACTGGTGTTTATGTGACCACCTGCAGCCCACTCATCTTTGGTCATTTCTGCCTTTATATAGACTTCTTCTGTAAAAGTTTTACTTCCTTTAGTTCCTGTCACCTGTAATTCCTAACAATATTCCTTTGTTGACAACAGAACAAATCTGAGTTTATTTCCTTATTCCTAGGCCTGAAAAAAAATTCCTTATTTGGTTAATTTCAATCTGCTGTTTTTAATTTGAGAATTCCTTTTTAAATATCATTTTAAAGATAACATGAAACACGTAGAGCTGTCAGCAGCTTTTGAATTTCTTGCTGATTTTGCAGATTTTTTTCCTGGGAGGATTTAAGTGGCTTTAAATGCAGGAGAATAAAGCCCCCAGTTTAAGGTCTGACAACAAACTGTAACCCTGATGCATTGTTCTGTCAATCTCTTAATGTGAAAAGAAGTTCACAATTTTTGCAAAGCCTTTTTTACATTGCTAACTAAAGAAAATAATGTTTTAAAGCCTTTTTAAAATATAATTTCTTATTGGCTCTGAATTGCTCATAGTTCTAATAATCACGGTATTTCCACTCATAGTTTTCCAAGAGAAAGCAGGTTATGAAAGATCTAAATTTCTAATGTATGGCCTCTTTTAAATTGTCTTACCAAATAAGGTAACCAGTCTTTCATGGTTGGGATTTTTTACTGCTACCTACCTTCAAAATGTTTCTGAACGTGTATGTTAATGTGACTGGCTCTCAGATTAAATGCTACTTTTGTAAAGCGTTTTGTAGGTTTTATTTGTAGAGATCACACCAAGGAGTAATTGAACAAGGTTGAAAGAAAAAAAAAAAGTAGTTTTGTGTGTTTTCGCTCTAGCACAGTATTTGCTGCATTAGTTCCTCTGTCCCTGGGTGCAGCCCACGTCCTAGTTCTGATTGGAAGCTGAAGAGCAAAAGCAGGGAGAGTGTTTCATGTTTTCTAATAAACACCTGTAATGTCCATAGTTATGTAAAATTAGCGAGAGGCAGGAGGTAGTATCAAACATGTATTTTTCATTACTTTTAGCATTTATTCAGATTAAATATCTAAAATGAGGTTCACAGCATTAAGTAACTTTCCAAGATTAAGTGAATGAGATAAAATTAAACTATGCACAGGGAAGATTTCAGATTTTTGATGTAGATTTTGTTTAATTTTTTTTTTAGGCTGAGCGGTTCTTGCAACTAAGATGTTTCATTATGTTGTGGGGATTTTTAGCTTCAGTAATATTTTCAGTCCATTTACAGTTTGTGATCTTAATTGATTCTTATACAATTTACCTTGAATAAGTGGAACATGGTCTCGGATTTTTTTCTTGTTTTAAAACTAGTGTACAACTACAAGACCCCAAAGTTTACAATCTTGAAAATTCTCTTGGGAAAACTTTTCAAGTTAGAACACTTTTCTTCTGTAATACACAAGGTGTAATTTTTTTGAGTAATGCATTTAAAACTATGGTGTTTGAGAATGTACTTTTTTCAATCCATATGCAACTATCCTATATATGAAGTAGGAGACTGTTTTGTTCCCTTGTTGCAATTGTGAAGTGCAAAGGTGCTGCAATAGGTTTGACTGCAAACATCTCTCAGTGATTTAATCTCTAGCTTGTCCTTACACCTTTTCACCTTGTATCTGTCTTCTACATGAGAGCTGTTTGTAACAGCCTCCTAAAAATGTTATTCCTCTTTTGTTCTTTCTTTTGTTATCAATTAAATTAAGGATCTGTATGTCTATGTTGTGAGTCTAAATCTGTTCTTTATCTCATGATGAAAGAAAAAACAAAGGTAAGTTAGTGCTAAAGACATCAGTGTAGTAGGTTGTTACATTTGTTAGTATTAATTATGCTTGTGGTCGCCCCACTGTTTCCTTTGTTACTTCCAAGCATCTATGAATGGTAATGTTATTATTTATATACTAGGGCAAGTATAATTACAGCTATTTCATTGAGAGCTTTGCAAGCCAACATCTAGTTTTTGTTATGGTCCCACATGGGAACTGTGAACAAAGCTAAACACCCTGTGGTTAGAATATTTTAAAATAGAGTATTCAATATATTTCATAAATTATGTGGGTTTATGGAAATCATAAAGGAATCTAGAAGCTGTTGGATGCTTTCTTTAAAACAGATACTAATTTAAACATTTCAGAAAACTGTAAGTGAATGGGCACCAGTGTTAAAAGAATCTTATGGAAATACCAAATATTTTAATAGTTGAGGTACTAGCTGAAAATGCAAAAAGACTATGTAGGTTTTATGTCATCCAGATGCATCTTCTGAGGTCATAGAGGTAATGTGTCCTTACATAAGTAGAAGAAATAAAAGCCCTAAATTTAGTAATTTAAATTACTAAATTACCTCTTTGAAGGCAAAGTGGATCTGTTGATTAACATTTTTTTCCTCTACAGGTAAAGCATTTTAAACTTTTTGGAAAACCTGAAATCTCTTAATATATGAAGAGTTTTTTTCAGTACAATGTAGAATTTGTCAATACCAGTTCACTGTGGTTTTGGAACAGTATTTTTACTAGTATTTTGAGTGTTGTAACAAATTTCACATTAGAAGGTGATTTTTGCTAAGTATTGGTCTGATGGAATATTCTCTGTATTTTTCAAAGCACCAAGTGCAGCCAACAGTGTTTCTGTGAAAAAGAAGCATATTGCAAAGTGAACACATTTGCAAAATCTAAAAGCTGTGTACTTTTAATGAAAATAAAAATTACGGCCAAGAAATTTTAGGAATTATGGAATCCTGCTGTATGGGAGTCTAAATCTTAATATTTTATGCTAGTTGCTTCATGGCCCATCATAGTAAAAAAAATTATAACTATCATAACTTTGTGCTTCAAGAAGTTTTTATATTTGTAAGATAATTCAAACTGTGAAACATGGTACCAGGTTTGTCTGGTATTTGTAAGATAATTCACATAGTTTGAAATAACTGTTACTATAATTTTAAAGGAGCATAATTATGTGCTCTGTTTACCAAAATTTTAATTCTAAGAGGAAATATCTTTTTTTAAAAAAAATTTTACGTGAAGCTGTGGGTGTCATCTGTTGAAACCTGTCATATGAAAATATTTAAAAATGTAAATATTTGCTTCATTACAGGTGGCGGAGCTTGACACCAGTTGGACAGCCTATACCAGGAACTAGATTTATTGCATTCAAAGTACCTTTGAAAGGGGTATGTATAAAAAATAACTGCAGATTTGCTCTACTAGATGCAGTCCAAAAGCAATGAAGAATAGTGTGAATGTTCCTGCAAATTTCAGGAAGGTTTTATGAAAAACTAATTAATTCGGATTTAGACCTTCCAATCATCTTCCAGAGGCTTTTTATGTAACAGTATTTTTTTATTTGGTGTTACTCTTTTTATTTCTTTTGAAAATAAACCCCTCTAATCAATTAATCATATGATCAGTATCAAGTGGTCTAAATTAATTTTCTTACTTAACTAAACTTAACTAACTTAACTTACTTTTTTATCACCGTCATAAGAAAATGATTTGGAATGGGTTATGATATGAATGACAAATCAAACGTGTATTGAAGCATCCCAACCACTGCAGTACTTTTAAAATTATAGATTCAGATTACCAATTTCATAAGAAAAAAGCTTCAGTGATCTGGAAGAATGCAGTATATTTAAAAAAGAAGTCTTCATAGTTTTCTTTTATTAATGTTAGTGGTTGCTTCAGATTCTTAGTAACATGGAGTGCCATCTTAGTCTATTAAATATGCCGAGTCAGGTGGGGTTTTTTTAATTCTTTGTGATAATGCAAACTGTGGAGGCTGTCTTTTTTTAGACTCCTCAGTTCTTTGAAGGATGGAGGCATAGGGCAAATTTGCCCTTCTTTATAAATTAACACAAGTGCTGTATAAATTAACTCTTGCAAGTCCTTGCTTCAGATAGAGCGGAAATAAAAGTTTCAAAGCTGAATATTCCAAATGTCTTGTTATTGGAACTCAAAAATAAAATATTTTTTTTTCCATTTTCATTGTAGGCAATTAACCAGAGGCTTACTCCAACCCAGAAATTTACACCAAAAGACTTAATTGCTGCAATGAAAGCCCTAAATGTGGAGCTTGGATTAATTATTGATTTAACGTATACCACACGATACTATGAAGTTAAGGTAATATAAGCGTAATAAAATAAAATAGTCACTGCAACTTTTGCTTTAAAGTATTTACACATTTGCTTTTGTCTCCTGTAAAAACAAAATCTTTTGTCACAGAGAAAATTCTCCCAGCTAGATGTACTTGTGGTTTATTTGTATAATGGTAACTCAGAGTAATGGATAAAAAGGCTTTGGTGCCAGGCACTGCAGAGAAGGTGCAGAAAACTTAGTTGGTGTCCTAAAGACATTCCTGTTTTTTCCTAGGGCCTTTTTTTACTCATTTTCAGTGGAATCCACTAAGAAAGTGTACATTTTTAAACTACTTTATCAAATTCAAATTGTGCAGGTATGGTCCAAATAACTGTGATTAATCAGCCTCTTGTTGAATAGGAGAATAAATGGCAGTGTCATAACTGAATGCTAGTATTTGAGAGTACATGGCCTGTAAGCATTAAGGGAATGAATTTGTGAGTATATATGCTATTGTGTATAGGAGGGGTGAATATTGCTAATAATTGTAAAATGGATTCCAATGGAATTACAAGAATCTGCTTTTCTTCAAGTGCTGCTATATTAGCAGGGATAAATAAGTTTTCTGCAGGAAAATGTTCTTTGAGATCAAATTTTTGAAGTGGCAATGTAAATGGTAGTTTCTGAGAGTGCATACAGAATTGTGTCATGATTGTTTTCAGATTCTGCTCAGGATTTGAACTACTGTTTTACACTGGCATTATTTTAGATACTGCTTAAGGTTTTCATTGATGCAAGGCTTTAATAATTTTTACCTTTTTTCTTCTTTTTGCTAGGATTTACCTAAAAGTGTGCAGTATAAGAAACTTTATACTGTTGGACTTGAAGTCCCTGATAATGCTACTATCCTGCAGTTCAAAAAACGGGTCAGAAAATTCCTATGGGAAAATGCAGGAAATGGTAATATCAGCATCTTATGCTGTTAAAAAATAAAATAAATTCAGTGCTAGCTGTATCATTTTTTTCATTTCAATAGATAATCATGGCACCAGGGACCTCAGACTTTTCATGGCACTTTCCACTTTTTTATCATAATAAGATACATTATGTGAACCACTGCATAACTTTTTTGCATTCAAAAGATGTCTTTCAAAAAAATTACTAACTTAAACACCCTTCCTAATAGTATTATATTTGTGTTGTGTCAAAGTAACACATCTAGTGATGTTTTATCTAGTGATTTTTTGCGTGACAAAGAATAGTCTGTATTTGAATCAGATTATTTCTGATTCTCAGAACTGAGAGAACCAATTCCTAATTTGTTACTGGATGAAGACATGCAGTTCCAGCTAGTAAGACCATTTTTGCAGGGCTTATGTAACTTCAGAGTTGGAACAACTTTCATTTTTATCTTAACTTGCTTGTAACTTTGCCTCTGTTCTAGATTACTCCTAAAATTTCTCAGGATTCTTCTTACAAAAGATTTCTGAGAGGTTGGGTTTTTTTAGCTTCTGAATTGTTAGGACACCAACTTATAATTATGTGGCAATGCAACTGTCCTGTTCTGTGGCAAATTGTTACATTTTAACTCATTCAAAAATTTATCAAAGTCCCATTTCAAAGACTGTCTGTCAGTACTTTCACTATGACAACTTTGTTCTTCTGATGATTAAAGTTTTTCTCCTAAAATATAGCCTAAAACTCACTGTCAGTTAGTATACATTTATTCTTATGCCAGCTTTGCCTTCACATATGGTTGTTCTTGCATATATATCACTGTTACTTTGCTAGAAAAGTACAACTTTTTTTTTGTCTCACACTATACTTTTTTTAGTAATTTCACTTTCTGAATTATTAAGACGGTGTTTTCCTTTTTGATAGAGAAACTCATTGGCGTTCACTGTACTAATGGAATTAATAGAACTGGCTACCTTATATGTAGGTAAGGGTTGTATGAAAACCATTGTTCACAAAAGTGTCTTTATATTAACCCATAATGCCTTTGGGACAATAATGTAACTATGTTTTTCTTCAGATACCTTATAGATGTTGAAGGCTGGGATCCAGAGACAGCAATCCAAGGTATTTATACAGTTTGAACCAAGGCATATGTCAGGTTATAATTCACAACTACTACAATTCTATTCACAAAACCAATTCTACTTAGAGTTATTTCATGTGCTGGCTTCAATAGATGATTTTATGTGTTAATTCTCTTCCAAGCAAGACTTGAGCATTAGCAAATGAGCAATACAGTAGGAGTGTGTTTCAGCTGCTTAATCTTTTTTTTCACCTTTTGTTTTGAGGGGTTTTCAGTCATAGGATGCTATCACTACTAGTTTGTGGTAGCAAAGATGTCATCTTGCTGAAGTATGTAATGTCAAGTTAGTTGTTTCAAATTCAGCATCAGGAACTTGTCTTTCACATTTTTGTGGCTCAGTCTGAGCACATTCAATTAGACTTGTATCTATTTTTTATTTAGCTTTTGGTGATGCTAGAGGTCATCGCATGGATGGTCTTGTGTATCTCACAGATCTCAGAACACAACCAATGAGAAGGTAAACAAAAGCTTTTAGCTGTTGGCTAAGATTTCCCAGTATGTCTGATGGTATCTTTGAAAACTCAATTCCAGTCACCAGCCAAAATAAACTCCTCCTTAAATGTTTAATATGCATACACATAATTATCGTTCATATCCGAAGAAGTCTTACATGAAGTCCAGTATACTTCATTCACCTTTTGAATTTAAATGGTTTAAAAGGCTTTTCTTTTTCTGACAACTGCTATTGAACATTGGTGTGGTTTTATACTGTGACAAGCGTATTGACTCTGCATTCTCACATTATAAAGAGCTGCTGTAAAGGTATCTTTGTAAGCTCTGTAATCTGCCTGCTGTTGTTGGCACGGTAGAACCTGATATTAAACAAACAGAAAAAAAACACCAACCTGTTTTAGGAATAAAATGTATGGGAAAGTGAGAGATTGTTCTCAACTCCTCTGTTCATGGTGGTTGTGTGCCTGGTGTGTAAGAATTTTATGCTTGTCGTATTCACCTAAGAATAGCTAACCTTTACATCTTCCTAAATTACTTTTGTCAATGACCTTGTAGTAGTCAATTGATTTTAAATTTAATACCTGACTGGTTTGCATCTTTTTAGTCTAATTGAATGCCCTTTATTTTACTGCTGTCATTGTTTTTTATTATGTGTCACTAAGTTAGTGCCATGTCAGATTCTGAATAGATATGGTGCTTGTCTCGCATCCTTTAGGATGTTTTTCCAAGCTTATGAAGTTTAGCTATTCTTTGCTTTCCTTGCAAGCTTCCCCAAGATAAATTTACAAGGTTAAAATTTGGTGAATTACAAATGTCTGTAAATTTAATGTAACATACGAAAATTTCTTTCCTTCTATACTGAAGAATTGGATGTGTTGGGTTTTTTTCCTTTCTCAATAGTATGTTTTTTTTTAAAAAAAGAACCTTTTATGTTTTTAGCAACCTTGGAATGGATGTATGGGATTCAGATGAAGATGTCATTCCCCCACCACACACAATGGAAG